TAAGGGTTTTTCCTGAGCAGCTCCTGTTGCAAGTTGTAACCGGGAGGAAATCGCAGAAAGGCGATTTGTTGAATTCCATTTCTGGGACTCCCTTTGCAGGGAGGAGGAGCTCGGTGGTGTGACTGGGGTGTCCTGTGTTTGCCCCCCGGGCTCGACCCTGAGCCTAGGAGCATGGACCTGTGGAGCCGTGGCTAAACTTCCTGCGGTGGAGCCAGAGCAGGTGGGAGTGCCTGAGGCAGCGCAGGGAAGGCTGGTTGAAGAGACGGCGGCAAGAGCTGGGGCACTTTGTAAACTGCGCGGCTGCCAGAGCCCGCCGCTGGGGGAGGCCCGAGGCCCCAGAGGGTTCCTCACCACCAGTTTCTAATTGTAACCATGTATTGTTTGGCAAAAGTGACTTTTTTAAACATAACAGATTGATGTGGTGTAGAGGCCCTGGTCCTGCCCGTTGACTTGTAGATTTTCCTCTGTTAGTGATAACCAGAAGTATGAATGGAACATTTTTCCTTTAAAAAGATTTATTGGGGCCGGCATCATGGCATAGTAGGTTAATCCTCAGCCTGCAATGCCGGCCTCCCATATGGGTGCCAGTCCAGCTCTCTGCTGTGGTCTGGGAAAGCAGTAGAGGATGGCTCAAGTGCTTGGGCCCCTGCACCCATGTGGGAGACTGGAAAGAAGCTCCTGGCTCTGGGCTGGCACAGCTCTGGCTGTTGCGGCCATCTGGGGACTGAACCAGCGGATGGAAGATATCTCTCTCTGTCTCCACCTCTCACTGTCTGTAGCTCTACCTCTCAAATAAATAAATAAAATCTTTAAAAAATTTTATTTATTTGAAAGAGTTGCAGAGAGGCAGAGGGAGAGAGACGGGTCTTCCATCTGCTAGCTCACTCCCGAGATGGCCACAACAGCCAGTCAGAAGCCAGGAGCTTCTTCCAGGTTTCCCATGTAGGTGCAGGGGCCCAAAGACTTGGGCCGTCTTTGTCTGTTTTCCCAGGCCATAGAGAGCTGGAGAGGAAGTGGAACAGCTGGGTCTCAAACCGGCGCCCATACAGGATGCCAGCACTGCAGGTGGCGGCTTTACCTGCTATGCCACACAGCACCAGCCCCTGAATTGAACTTTAATTGGGAGGGTTGCTAGAACATTTGTGTATTTTATTGTTAGACAAGTAATTACTGGTGTAGTCAGGTAGCATCAGGAAGTTGGTGTAGGGGTGTTTGTCTTGGTGGCTGGGGTGTGCCTGGGTTTGAGTCTCAGCTCCCGCTAGTGCAGACCCTAGGAGGAAGCAGGTGACCCAGGTAGTTGGACCCCTGTCAGCCACATGGGACGCTGGGATTGCTCCCAGCTTTGGCATAGCCAAGTTCTGATCATTGCAGGCTTGGGGAATAAACCAGAAGATTGCAGTTCTGTCTCTATGTGTCTGCCTCTTGAATTACCAAAAAAAAAACCAAACAAACAAAAAGTAGAAAATGGAATTAAAAGATAAGTTTATGTGGGTGCAAAATATTTTGAAATCAGTTTTTACAGAATATTTTTTAAAATTATTTTATTTATTTGAAAGTCAGAGTTAACAGAGAAAGGAAAGGCATAGAGAAAGAGACAGAGAGAAAGGTCTTCTACCCATTGGTTCACTCCCCAGATGGCCACAATGGCTGGAGCTGAGCCGATCCAAAGCCAGGAGCCAGGAGCTTCCTCCAGGTCTCCCACATGGGTGCAGGGGCCCAAGGACTTGGGCCATCTTCTACTGCTTTCCCAGGCCAAAGCAGAGTTGGATCGGAAGAGGAGCAGCCGGGACTAGAACCGGCATCCATATGGGATGCCGGCGCTTCATGCCAGGGCTTTAACCCACTGCGCCTCAGTGCCAGCCCCTAGAATATGTATTTTCATGAACTTTTTGAAGTACTCTTTAAAAATTTATTTACAGGCCGGCGCCGCGGCTCAATAAGCTAATCCTCTGCCTGCGGCGCCGGCACACCAGGTTCTAGTCCTGGTCGGGGCGCCGGATTCTGTCCCGGTTGCCCCTCTTCCAGGCCAGCTCTCTGCTGTGGCCCAGGAGTGCAGTGGAGGATGGCCCAAGTGCTTGGGCCCTGCACCTGCATGGGAGACCAGGAGAAGCACCTGGCTCCTGGCTTCGGATCAGCACAGTGCGCCGGCCGCAGCGCGCCTGCCGCTGCGTGCCTGCCGCTGCGCGCCTGCCGCTGCGGCCATTGGAGTGTGAACCAACGGCAAAAGGAAGACCTTTCTCTCTGTCTCTCTCTCTCTCTCTTCTCTCTCTCACTGTCCACTCTGCCTGTCAAAAAATGAAAACAAAAATTATTTACAAAGGCAAAGTTAGAGAGGGAGGGAGGGAGGGAGGGAGGGAGGTGTCTTCCATTTACTTGTTCACTCCCCAGATGGCCACAAAGGATGGAGCCAGGCCAGGCCAGGCTGAAGCCAGGAGCCAGGAGCCAGGAGCTCCCTCCTGGTCTCTTACGGGGGTGCACTCAAGCACTTGGGCCGTCTGCTGCTGCCTTTCCAGTGCATTGGCTGGGAGCTGGATGGGAAGGGGAGCAGCTCCGGGGGCCCCGTCATTGCAGCGGGCTGAGTCCTCTGCCACGTCACCAGCCCCTGAGACTCCTGCCTTAACATTGCTGTTCTGGGGCTGGCGCTGCGGCATAGTGGGGCACGCTGCCACCTGCGGGGCTGGCATCCCATACGGGCACCAGTTCGAGTCCCGGCTGCTCCACTTCCCATCCAGCTCTCTGCTGATGTGCCTGGGAGAGCAGTGGAGGATAGCACAAGTCCTCAGGCCCCTGCACCCACGGAGGAGACTCCACAGAAACTCCTTGCTCCTGACTTCGGTCTGGCCCTAGAGAGGTCCAGACCTCTCTCTCCAGTTCTCCCTCTCTCTGTATGCAGCTCTGCCTCTCAGTTTTGGTATATGTGCTGCCGAAGCGAGCACTGTAACTCTACCTCTCAAATAAGTAAATCTTTAAAAAAAAATTACTGTTGGTCATCCCTGACACTTGGGAGAGAGGAGCACTCATTTGGAATGGTAGTGAATGTCCGGTTGTTGGCGTGAACCTGGAAACCCAGCGGAGGCCAGTAGGGGACTCTGTCAGCCGATTCGGGTTTGAATGTGAACCTGAGATCCGTGGGTTTGGGGGCCTCACTGAGCGTGAGTTCCGGGGAGGGAACGCCTAACGGCTTTTTGGGCCAGTTTTTTGTGTCAAGAGCTCCTGATTTCTGGCGGAAGAAATCTGCAGGTAAATGCGCAGCTTTGTTTCTAGAACAGAGGAGATAAAACTTGCAGAGCTGGACTATGTCAGTGTGCACTAAGCGAATGCTCAGTTGCAGCCGTACAGCACCTACAAAGTGCTCATCTAGATGTTGGGGTTACGTCAGCGGAGCACCACGGACGGTAGCTCAGCCGGCGCACTGTGTGGCCTCATAGTCACAAGTTAAAGGTGGCAGGGACCGAGCAGCGCAGCATGAGCACGTTGGTCTCTGCTGGTGAGGGGGTGACGGCTCTTGCTTCTGTTTTAGGTTGATCCAAGAAGAGAAGGAGAACACGGAGCAGCGGGCAGAGGAGATCGAGAGCCGAGTCGGCAGTGGCAGCTTAGACAATCTTGGTCGTTTTAGATCAATGAGCTCCATTCCCCCCTACCCTGCTTCCTCGCTGGCCGGCTCCTCCCCTCCAGGCAGCGGCCGCTCCACTCCAAGGAGGGTTCCTCACAGCCCCGCCCGGGAGGTGGACAGACTGGGCGTCATGACTCTCGTAAGTACCTGCCTCTACCCGGGGGCCCTTCCTGCAGCCCATCTGTCCTGTGTCACAGACACTGGGAATTTGCTTCTTTGTTTGTTTGTTTTTAAACTCAGAAGAAAATGAAGCACATTTGTTATTCTGAGAGGTTCAGGATTTCGAAAACTACTTGATAATGTGGTTATTCCACCATGCCAAGTTAGATTTCAGGTCTGCACACCAGCTCAGCAGGCCGCCACGCGTTTGTGTGAGTCCAGGTGCGGTTTCTGTTTTCCGGGGATTAGTAGTTGAGGTAGAGAGTGGTGCACAGCGCGGCGTCCAGAGAGAGAGTGGAGAGAGACAAGTCCAGACAGGCTGGGTAGGTTCTGCCACACTCAGGGACAGCGTGCACGGCTGAAGGCCGCAGTCCTTCCCTGTGCGTCAGGTCCAGGTGTGGTCCTGGGTCAGCTCATGTCCACAGCCCCGCTTTCTGACCACCTCTGTTGTTGTCTCCGTGGCCAGCCGGCCGTCAGGGGTCGTGGCAGCGTCCGCCAGGTGTGTTACCTTGTTGGCTTGGGAATGATTTGCGTCCTTAGCTGCTGAATTGATGTTTTAGTCCTCGACGGTTTCCGCTGCTGCTTCTTCGCAGAGCGTTTGTGAACGTTCACTTTCGCTGGCGTGGGAACGCGGCCGGCTGGCAGTCTGCTCGCAGGCGTGGCTGCTTCCTGTGCCCCCTGGTTTGCTCTGTTGTGTTAGCCGTCTGCAGCATCGTCTCTGATGCAGACCCAGGCCCCTCTGGTCTGTAGCTGTCCCTCAGACGGCCACCAGGACAGTTCCCGTAGCACGCACACGTGCCCCAGCAGCTGTGGGGCTGACTGGATGGGATTCTGGGCTGGATCATACACTTCGTAGTCTTTGTTTCTAAAATGTAGTTTTTTCTCCATAGTGATAAATTATCACTAACGTATCACTGTATAACACATGTGTATGCAGGCATGATATAGGTGGTTATGGGTGTTTTTACTCAAATTGTGTAGGATGACATAATTCACAAAATATTTCTATATAAAGAAATACGCTAAGTGTAGAATTAACAGAAGCTGTACACAACAGTATTCCTTCTGGGTTTGATGATTCAAGACTAAACTCATCAACTTATTGAACAGACCATTTCTTCATTAAAATATCTTAGATCCATCATAGGATGCCAAGATTCTACCTGATACTGTGCTAGCTTTTGTTCTTATATATTTTCACAGGATACCTTGCTTTAAGCAATAAATTTATTTTTGAGAAGTTGTAAGTCAAATTCTAGGTAAGGATTTTACATTAATGTCCAGTAGATTATTAACTAAACGTAGGTTTGTTCAGTTTTATAATACATATTATAAAGATTTTCACATCGATTTGAGTGATATCTTAAATTACAGCATGTTTTCTATTAAAGAAGACAAATCGTAGAGAGATTTGGCTTGGAATATACAATTATTAGACCCCTTTTATAGAATGCCATATTTTAATAAATCGCATATGTTGAGATATAATTTTATTTTTCTGAGTATGATTGCTAGTGTTTGGCTAGTAAATCTTGAATAACTTATTTAAATTTTGTAGTGAAAAAATTTTGTTTCCAGTTACGTTTTCTGTAAATCCTATTTCACTTCTGTCTATCCTGTCATTCCTGTGTTAATGCATTTGCCTGTATTGATCCTTGCATTTTTAACTTCAAAGTGTGCAGTAAATCTGGTTTTTCTTCATTTCTTTGCATGCACCTGTCAGCCTAGTGATTTAAGGAAACACCGTAGAAAGGTAAGTTGCGTAGTCACTGCCCCTCCTTGTGTCTGGTAGCGTCTCGAGGAGCCCCCTCCCCTCTCACAGCACACTGCGGTGTCCCTGAGCCGGGTCAGGGACGGGGGTGCTGCTGTGTGCCGAAAGCCAGGCTCTGTGAGAAGTGGCGCATTCACGGGACCGGGCGGGCGTGGGGCTCCGCTCTGCTGCCTTTCCGCCTTAGCCACTGCGTGGTATTTGTAGCAGGCACAGTATTTTTCACAGTTGAAGTTACTGGGGAGGGGACTAAGATTTTAAGTTTGGGGAAGAGCAGCCTTGATGACGCTGCCTGGTGCGTAGTGCGCTTCTGTGGGGGTGAGGGCAGGCTCCTGTGCCGGCTCTCAGAGGTCATGCCGGCAGTGCGAGGTCTGGGCTCGAGCGCTGGGCCCTTGGCCGCTTCCCCACCCAGCCTGCCTTTTCTGCAGCAGCATCTCCACCCAGGGAGGCATAGCGTGACCTTCTGTGTGTTGTCCCCGAACTGCAGCCCTGCACCACTGCCGCGCGCGGTCCGCTGTGCACCCCTGCAGCCTGCTGCGGGGAGCAGACTCCGCACACGCCCAGTGCCACACAGCAGTGTGCTGGGCTGCTCGGCTGCTCGGGCCCCGGCGCCTGCTCGGCCACGGCTCGTGCGTGACTGCGCTGTCACCTGCCTGCGCGTTGGCTCGGCCCCTGTCAGCGGCCCCGTGTGCTTGTCAGTGCCACAGCTGCCCACACGGCGGCAGGGCATCAAGCACAGCCTTGAGCCCACTCACTTGTGTTTGGCTTGGGTTTTTGGTAGGAAGATTTTCTTTTCTTCTTCTTTTTTAACACTTTATTTATTTATTTTAGAGGCAGAGTTACAGAGAGGGAGAGACAGAGGGGTTCTCCATCCCCTGGTTCACTTCCCAAATGGCTGCCATGGCTGGAGCTGAGCTGATCCAAAGCCAGGAGCCAGGAGCTTCTTCCAGGTCTCCCATGTGGGTGCAGGGGTCCAAGCACCTGGTCCATCTTCCACTGCTTTCCCAGGCCACAGCAGAGGGCTCGATAGGTAGAGGAGCAGCCAGGACATGAGCCGGTGCCCATATGAGATGCCCGCACTGCAGGTGGAAGCCCAGCCCACTGTGCCAAAGCGCTGGCCCAAAAGATTTTCTTAGTGAAGGGGGTGGTGGTTGATTTATGCTTGGGTACCTTGACCCCTGGTTACCTCAGGGTGCAGCCTGGCGACTGTGAGGAGCTTTGTGATTGTGAGGGCTACAGCAGGGGCGTGTGGAGTGACACAGCGCAGGGCGACGGCTGGTCTCTGGTTGTGAGGACTACAGCAGGGGTGTGTGGAGTGACGCGGCCCAGGGTGACGGCTGGTCTCTGGTTGTGAGGGCTACAGCAGGGGTGTGTGGAGTGACACAGCGCAGGGTGACGGCTGGTCTCTGGTTGTGAGGACTACAGCAGGGGTGTGTGGAGTGACGCGGCCCAGGGTGACGGCTGGTCTCTGGTTGTGAGGGCTACAGCAGGGGTGTGTGGAGTGAACAGCCCAGGGTGACGGCTGGTCTCTGGTTGTGAGGGCTACAGCAGGGGTGTGTGGAGTGACACAGCGCAGGGCGACGGCTGGTCTCTGGTTGTGAGGGCTACAGCAGGGGTGTGTGGAGTGACGCGGCCCAGGGTGACGGCTGGTCTCTGGTTGTGAGGGCTACAGCAGGGGTGTGTGGAGTGAACAGCCCAGGGTGACGGCTGGTCTCTGGTTGTGAGGGCTACAGCAGGGGTGTGTGGAGTGACACAGCGCAGGGCGACGGCTGGTCTCTGGTTGTGAGGGCTACAGCAGGGGTGTGTGGAGTGACGCAGCCCAGGGTGACGGCTGGTCTCTGGTTGTGAGGGCTACAGCAGGGGTGTGTGGAGTGACAGCGCAGGGTGACGGCTGGTCTCTGGTTGTGAGGGCTACAGCAGGGGTGTGTGGAGTGACGCGGCCCAGGGTGACGGCTGGTCTCTGGTTGTGAGGGCTACAGCAGGGGTGTGTGGAGTGACACAGCGCAGGGCGACGGCTGGTCTCTGGTTGTGAGGGCTACAGCAGGGGTGTGTGGAGTGACACAGCCCAGGGTGACGGCTGGTCTCTGGTTGTGAGGGCTACAGCAGGGGTGTGTGGAGTGACACAGCCCAGGGCGACGGCTGGTCTCTGGTTGTGAGGGCTACAGCAGGGGTGTGTGGAGTGACAGCGCAGGGTGACGGCTGGTCTCTGGTTGTGAGGGCTACAGCAGGGGTGTGTGGAGTGAACAGCGCAGGGTGACGGCTGGTCCCTGTGGTTGTGAGGGCTACAGCAGGGGTGTGTGGAGTGACACAGCGCAGGGTGACGGCTGGTCTCTGGTTGTGAGGGCTACAGCAGGGGTGTGTGGAGTGACACAGCCCAGGGTGACGGCTGGTCTCTGGTTGTGAGGGCTACAGCAGGGGTGTGTGGAGTGACGCAGCCCAGGGTGACGGCTGGTCTCTGGTTGTGAGGGCTGCAGCAGGGGTGTGTGGAGTGACGCAGCCCAGGGTGACGGCTGGTCTCTGGTTGTGAGGGCTGCAGCAGGGGTGTGTGGAGTGACAGCACAGGGTGACGGCTGGTGCAGACTAAGGGGACTTGGCTGGCCTTTGCTGCTTCCTGTTCTGTCAGTGCAGGGGTGGGTGGGAGGCTCCAGCACTGCTTTTCACTGTGGAGAGCAAGGGGCAGATGCTGGCTGGGCTGTGCAGCCCGGGCCTTCGCGAGGGAGGTGCCACTGCGTTGTTGCAGCAGCTCGCCCGTGTGTGCTGCTCCCTCTCCTCTTCGTTTTTTGTCTCTTTTAAGAAAATGATTGCTTTAATAGGACTTTGAAGCTGTTAGGTTTTCCGTTGTTTTTTGTTTTGTTTTGTTTTTGACAGGTAGAGTTAGACAATGAGAGAGACAGACAGAGAGAAAGGTCTTCCTTTTCCATTGGTTCACCCCCTAAATGGCTGCCATGGCTGGTGTGCTGCGCCGCACCGATCCAAAGCCAGGAACCAGGTGCTTCTCCTGGTCTCCCATGGGGTGCAGGGCCCAAGGACCTGGGCCATCCTCCACTGCACTCCCGGGCCACAGCAGAGAGCTGGCCTGGAAGAGGAGCAACCAGGACTAGAACCCGGCGCCCCAACCAGGACTAGAACCCTTGGTGCCAGCGCCGCAGGCAGAGGATTAGCCAAGTGAGCTGTGGCGCCAGCCAGGTTTTCCGTTGTTGAGTCGTAGCTAGGATAGCCTTTTGCTGCTCTGTGGTTGTAATTAGGCTTTGGGAAAGGATGTGGAATGTATCCACTCCGACTTAGGGTGATGTCCTCATGGGCTGAGCTCCACTTTGCCCAAATCCTCTTGGTTCTTACCGAGCTGCTGTGGATCGATGGACTCCGCAGAATCCCATTAAAGAGATGGGAAGTTAGTCACTCCACACACGAATGCTTGCCAAGTACGAAATCTAGTCCTACTTCACAACCGGAAGACACGTGCTGCCTGTTCCCTGAAGGGTTAATCTGTGGCTGGTGCTCCGGCCCCTGCCTGCGGCCACACAGAGGCGCCCACCTCCCTGCGAGAGGGAGAGATCTCATGATGGTGGACCTGGGACTCCCTGTTGCAGCGAAAGGCCGAAAGGGGAGCGTCCCACCCACACGCTGGGAAATGAGACCACACACCCAGCACCTCCGTGGTGGTCCCAGCTGTTCTTTGTCTGTAAACCGCCCCCACCCCCAGTGCCCTTGACAGTCTTGCCCCGGGGGTTTCTGCCCTCCCAGGGTTCTGAGTGGCACGTTATGTCCTGTCTCCACGTCTCCGCCGTGAGCGTCATGCTGTCTGGGGTGGATTCTGATGGATTTGCTTTGCTTTCAGTGCCTGTCCTCATGACGAGGTGCCAGGACGTCGGGAGGGCAGAGCGTGGGCCACGTGTGCCTGCCACGTCAGCCCTTCCCCGCCTTGTTCACGGGAGACGGCTGGGTCTGGGCTGCGTGGTCCTGCGTCCCGCGAGCAGGACGGCCCTTCCGAGGGGCGTGAGTGTAGTCTGGCTCCTTGTGCTGGCAGAAGTAGATCTCGTGGGTTTTCAAGCGAGCCGATGCTTACAGCTGGAGCCTTGGGTGATCCTGAATGCGTGCCCCTGTCGCCCTCAGCTGCCAGCCTCCCGAGAAGAGGTACGAGACGACAAGACGACCATCAAATGTGAAACCTCCCCCCCCTCTTCCCCACGGGCGCTCCGGCTGGACAGGCTGCACAAAGGGGCGCCGCACTCGGTCAGCCAGGAGGACGTCAGGGACATGCGGAAGTAAGGAGCGCCCCCACCCAGCAGCCCCTGCGGCGGGCTGCCTGCCCTCCTGGGGCCGTGCTGAGGCCTTGAGGGAGGTGCACCTCCGTGTGGGAGCAAGGAGTGAAGCGGTGCGGGTGGCTTTGAGAAAGCCTCCACTCTGGAGCGCACGGTCCGCTGCCTTGGGAAACCGCTGTCCTCGGCCGGCCAAGGGGGAGAGCGCCGTGTGGGGTTTGGCGCCGCCGAGAACGCCCTCTTGGGCCTTCAGCAGTGAGTCGTGGAGAGCTCCGCGTGGGCTGCGCCGTGAGCTGTTTGTCCTGGTGTGCGTTCCTTGCCGCGTTGCCAGGCAGCCCGTGTGCTGCTCTTGAAGCTCCCCCTCCTTGGCCAAGGACAGTTGTAGCCAGGGAGCTCATGGGAACTGCTTGGGGGGGGGGGGGGCTCTGCTTTTTCTGGGTCTCACGGTGACCGCTGTCTGCTGGTGCTTCTCGTGACTGGCCTCGGAGTGGCTCTCACTGGCCGAGAGACAGATGCCCCGCGAGGGTGCGGCTCGCTGGGCCTCTGGCATCAGCTGATTTGGAGTCCGACCCTCGGGAGGGGAAGCTGCGTCAGAGAGAATCTCATGTTCCCAGAAGCCGGGTTCCGTGCTAGCCCCGCTGGGAGCCTGCCTGGACCGCACGCGCTGCACGGAGCAGAGGAGTGCAGAAGACACTGGCGGGGTCGGGTAGGAAGACTGAAGGCGGACGTCAGAAGTGCGCAGCGTCCTAGTGCAAGCAGTGGGGTGTTCTCTCGGCTGAGCGCGTGTGGGAATGACTGCTTTCCTTGAAGCTCCACAGGCTCCCAGGACGGCCCCGCGAGCAATCCCAGCAGCAGCAACAGCAGCCAGGACTCGCTGCACAAAGCCCCGAAGAAGAAGGGCATCAAGTCCTCCATCGGCCGCTTGTTTGGCAAGAGAGAGAAGGGCCGGCCTGGACAGACTGGCAAGGACGCTTTAGGGCAAGGTGGGTTGGCTTTTCAGCAAACTTCCTGACGGTCGGGAGGGGCTGTCTTGTGTGTAACTGGCACCTCCCACCTGGTGCCACACAGCAGGGGCCCCGTGTTCTCACGAGGGTGCCCGTGTGAGGCCAGGAGCCGTAACGCGTTTGTCCCGAGTTCAGCCGCTCGTAGAGCATGTGTGGTGCCTCCTGGACACTTTTGTGTTGGTGCCTGATGGGAAACTTAGCTCTGGAGAAGAGTTAAGTGTGTCCCATCACGTTGACGCCCTCTCCCTTCCCCTGTCCTGCGTCCTCGCAGCCGGTGTTTCGGAGGCAGACGGCTCGTCCCCAGATGCCATGGGCCTGAGCAAACTGGGCGGACAGGCTGAAAAAAGCCGCAAGCTCCAGAAGAAGTAAGTGTTCGTTATCTTCCCGTCTCGCTGGACAGGTTGCAGTTGGTCCTGATTTCTAACTAATACTCATTTACTGGATGTGAAACCTGGCTATGTACGGACAACCTGCGTATCCACAGGTTCTGCATCCAGACTCAGCCCTTCACAGTCAGAGTGTTTTTACAACTGCGCCTGCACGGAGCGTGTGTGGACTTTTTCTCGTCACTCACAACCACCTGGGCAGCACTCACGTTGTCCTGCAGGCCGCAGGTCGTGGGAGGGAGGGTCTGTGCAGGTCCTGCGCCTTGCTGAGGAGGGGCGTGTGCATCCTGTGTCTGCAGACCTGGAGGGTGACTGGGTGCGTGGTGTTTCCTGAGAGCCTGGGCCGTTCTTTGTGGAGGACTTCAGGCATTGTGAACTAACTAACTTTCTTTCTTTCTTTCTTTCTTTCTTTCTTTCTTTCTTTCTTCTTCTTCCTTCCTTCCTTCCTTCCTTCCTTCCTTCCTTCCTTCCTTCCTTCCTTCCTTCCTCTCCCTCCTCCTCCCTCCCTCCTC